CGTCAGAATGAGAGTCCAAACAGCTGATAAAAACATCACAATAATCCACAAGTAATCCACAGCACTCCAGTCCATCAGTTAACATCTGGAGAAGACAAAAGCTGAAACAAATCCAGCATCAAGACGTTTTAACTAAAATACCATAGAGTCCATAATCCATAATAACTCTTCCTGCAGTGAAAAAGTCCATCTGCTGTTGTCTCTCACATCAAAATCCAGCCACATATTAGTTTAGAGCTGTTTAAACGCTGCTTGATCTGTGCAGATTTCTCTCCTGATTCACACCAGAACACTTTTAGATGAGGCTTCTGACGGCACCCATTCACTGCAGAGCATCCACTGCTGAGACACTGATGTGATGAAACATTTCTACAAACCTGATGAAGAGACAAACTCATCCACATCTTCAGCAAATGCTCATTTCTGGGTGAACTAATGCTTTAATATTCAGCTGCTTGAGACCATATTGATTGTTCTATTGATTTTTTTAACTCATATTGATTTTTATTGCTTCACTATCGTTTGTGTCTATGATTTAAAGCGTGAAGAGGTAAGAGGAGGCGTCCTGATAATGATTCTCTCTCTTATCCAGTCAGTTATAAAGTCTTTGTTCTGTGATCAGATCAGTCTGAGAAATGAAATGCACTGATTCACTCAGTCTGTTGATAAATGAATCGAACTGAACTGAGCATGCGCAGAACACATCATCATCATCATCATCATCACTCCTGCTCCACATTAGAGATTAATGCATCATTAATGAGCTCTGAACTACAGAGCAGAGACAGATGACAAACAGCGCGTATGATCCACAGAACGTGCTAGTTATTATTGGTTATGCTTATTGGTTTGATCGCTGCTCTAGTACACACGATATGAGTGATAATAAACACAGATATTACTGTAATACTATTTCACACTGACTGACAGATGAGGTGTTTATTACTGACACACACACACACACACACACACATACACATCTTTCATATTTCCATTCATATCCGCGTGTCTGATCGCTGGCTGTGATCAATAATCGCGTTGTGAGTGAGTGTTATTATATGAGCTGATCTCTGAATATGTCATTGATTAACTGATTGACTGATTTATTTACTCACGCACTTTCTTGGGTTTGGGCAGAATGGCTCCGGAGGTGGTGCTCACTACGGTCCGGTGCTGGTGCTGCTGCTGAGTCCCGACGAGCCGCGGAACCGACAGAGACACGAACCGGCGAAACAACCACACCGCCGCCATGATCACCAGCGGACTGACAGACGAGGGGAGGTGTGTGTGTGTGTGTGTGTGTGTGTGTGGTTTTGATAAAGTACCAACTGCGCTGTCAAGTTAGCAATGCTGGAACTGATGTGTGTGTGTGTGTGTGTGAGTGTGTGTGTGTGTGTTCACACTATATATAGCAGCTCAGTGTCTGGTTTGCTCCACATGTGGTGTCAGCAGAGCTCTATAACCACACAGCAGCACAGGAACATCTTCTGCTCACTCAGAGCTCAGGTTAGTTCATCATTCCGTCTCCTTCAGGAACCGAACAGCACTGGCTTTCACTGGATAGTTCAGGGCCGGCTCAAGCCTTTATGGGGCCCTATTTATTATTTGGGGGTCCCTCAGTGCCACCAATACGGCTGATTATTATCCGTGCTTGATTATTCGCACACTATAAATCTAACACACACATTATCAGTTTTATTTGTTGTAGCTGTGTTGCTCATCATATTAATGTCTGCCTGGCATGTTTTTACCCTTCTGTGGTTTTAACATTAGCAAACCCACACGAGTGGTCAGGTGTTCATTTGCACTTTCACATTCATAGTCTCACGGTACTAAGTGGCAAACTTAATGTGGTGTACTGAAAAATAGCTAAATAAACCAGCAGACAATGCATTTACAGAATAGAATGTTATTTTAACAACATACTTTATTAAACACAGCAGCAAGCCGTAAGTACATCTAAAACAACTCCTCTTAATCTGTAACTCAGGCATAATGATATTGGAATATAGCAAAGACCCCAAAGGTAAGTCAAGTCACCTTTATTTGTATAGCACTTTATACACTTCAGTAGTTGACCAAACCCAGAAAAGCTCTCAGCTCCTTCACACAGGTGGGTGCTGGTGCATCCCGGATTGCACCAACTTTTTCTGGAGATGGATGAAGGCCCCGACTGTCTAACACAAATCCTAGATATTCAATTAGCTTTTTCCCCAAACTCACATTTGGACTTTTTCACTCTCAAGCCATTCTCCTGGAGTCTTTGTAGAGCTGCCTGTAGCTTCTGCAGATGTTCTTGTTCTGTTCTTCCAGTGACCAGTAGGTCGTCAAGGTAAACAACGACATCAAGATCTTTCATGATGTTCTCCATAATTCTTTGGAAGATTGAGGGTGCTGAACTGACACCAAATGGTAGTCTATTGTAGACAAACAATCCTCTGTGTGTGTTGATGGTTAGCAGATGTTTGGACTCATCATCAAGAAGAACCTGCTGGTATGCTGAAGCCAGGTCAATCTTAGAAAACACAGTTCCTCCACTCAGTGTAGCCATCAACTCCTCAATCCGTGGTAGTGGGTAAGTCTCTGTAATAGCTGCTTGATTCACTGTTAATTTATAGTCCCCACACAGTCTTATGGTTTTGTCCTTTTTTATCAACGGCACAATGGGTGCTGCCCATTCACTGTGTTTTACAGGCGTGATTATTCCTTCTCCAGCCGGTCCAGTTCCGTGTCAACTTGGGCGTTCATAGAAAAAGGCAGTGGCCGAGATTTACAAAAGCGTGGAGGACTTTCAGGATTCACCAGTATTTTTGCCTTAAGCCCACGGAGTGTGCCTAGTTCATCTTTGAACACCTCCGAGCCTGAATCCAGCACTTCTTCAATGCATTTACAGAACAGAATGTTATTTTAACAACATACTTTATTAAACACAGCAGCAAACCGTAAGTACATCTAAAACAACTCCTCTTAATCTGTAACTCAGGCATAATGATATTGGAATATAGCAAAGACCCCAAAGGTAAGTCAAGTCACCTTTATTTGTATAGCACTTTATACACTTCAGTAGTTGACCAAACCCAGAAAAGCTCTCAGCTCCTTCACACAGGTGGGTGCTGGTGCATCCCGGATTGCACCAACTTTTTCTGGAGATGGATGAAGGCCCCGACTGTCTAACACAAATCCTAGATATTCAATTAGCTTTTTCCCCAAACTCACATTTGGACTTTTTCACTCTCAAGCCATTCTCCTGGAGTCTTTGTAGAGCTGCCTGTAGCTTCTGCAGATGTTCTTGTTCTGTTCTTCCAGTGACCGGTAGGTCATCAAGCAGATGTCCTTGTTCTGTTCTTCCAGTGACCGGTAGGTCGTCAAGCAGATGTTCTTGTTCTGTTCTTCCAGTGACCGGCAGGTCGTCAAGCAGATGTTCTTGTTCTGTTCTTCCAGTGACCAGTAGGTCGTCAAGCAGATGTTTGGACTCGTCATCAAGAAGAAGCTGCTGGTATGCTGAAGCCAGATCAATCTTAGAAAACACAGTTCCTCCACTCAGTGTAGCCATCAACTCCTCAATCCGTGGTATGGGTAAGTCTCTGTAGTAGCTGCTTGATTCACTGTTAATTTATAGTCCCCACACAGTCTTATGGTTTTGTCTCTTTCTATCACCGGCACAATGGGTGCTGCCCATTCACTGTGTTTTACAGGCGTGATTATTCCAGCCTTCTCCAGCCGGTCCAGTTCCGTGTCAACTTGGGCTTTCATAGAAAAAGGCAGTGGCCGGGATTTACAAAAGCGTGGAGGAATTTCAGGATTCACCAGTATTTTTGCCTTAAGCCCACGGAGTGTGCCTAGTTCATCTTTGAACACCTCCGAGCATGAATCCAGCACTTCTTCAAGAGACATTGTTTTATCCCCTTTTAATACTATATTACGGTTAGCAGTTCACTTTGTTTTTCGTAGCTCACATTAGCTTGAAACTGTCCCAACACAGGCATAATCTCTCCAGTGTACGTTTTAAGCTTGACTCCTGCGACCTCTAGTGGCTCTTCTGAGAACGCAGCTTGGAATAGTTTCTCAGATATGATACTCACGGCAGCGCCTGTGTCAATTTCCATCATAATTTCTTTGCCATTTACTTTAAATGTCCCTGTGAATGACTTTTTGCCGTTCTCATCACTTAACAGCGAAAACATGGGCAACTCAGCTTCCTCCAGCCGGTCCAGTTCCACGTCAACTTGGGCTTTCATAGAAAAAGGCAGTGGGCGAGATTTACAAAAGCGTGGAGGAATTTCAGGATTCACCAGTATTTTTGCCTTAAGCCCACGGAGTGTGCCTAGTTCATCTCTGAACACCTCCGAGCATGAATCCAGCACCTCTTCAGGAGACTTTGTTTGATCCACTTGACTGACATGTTTCATTTTTTTCCAATTTCAGCTGAGCCCTCTCAGCTGCTGCGTGTCTTTCTCCGCCGTCTCCAATGCGTCACTCAATGCGATCTCAAACGCACGTGCAAACGTCAGATTAGATTCTGACAACAGTCGTCGTTGGCAGGCTTCGTTGCGGATTCCACTCACGAACCGGTTGCACAATGCCTCGTCCAGCGTTGCTCCGAATTCACACCTCACAGCGCACTGTTTTAGCTCAGCTGCATATTCTGTCACAGTCTCATCAGCTCTTTGATTGCAATGATTAAAACGGAATCTTTCCGCAATCAGCAAAGGCTTTGACTCAAAATGATTCTTTAAAGTGTCCACAATGTCTTTCTAAGACTTATCTTTCGGCTTCTCTGGTTGTACCAAGTTCCTCAGTAAACCGTAGGTAGTTGCTCCCATCACACTCAACAGAGTCGCAACCTGCTTCTCCTGGCTTATGTCGTTCAATGTCGTTATGTCTCGAAGAACTGCTCCAGCCGTTCAATATAAGCCGACCACGACTCTGCTTTCGGGACAAACTCGCTTATATTTCCAATAAGCGCCATAATTTGAACAAAACTTTTATCCTCGTCGCCAATTTTTCTGTGATGTATCCATTAAAAAGAATACACGTGAGTCGGCACGTTTGTCTTCTAGCCACCACTTTACTGCTTTTTTAACTTCCGCCGAACTGGTGCCCAAAACAATTCCCAACATTCCTAGCGCTACTGCTACGGAATCTCAATTGTCTCAAATGTAAAATTGTAAGCATTTAATACATCACACTAATGATATTAATTAGGCGGCGTTTACAAGGCGGAGATCTGACACCAGTCAGCTGCGCACAATTTCAAGATCATTTGTGATTTATAAACATCACATCTGGAAGAGAGGCATACGCACGTGTTTTCTCCGAATAGCACTTACGCACATTTGAGAAATGATCTTAGAACAAATTTAGGACGGTTTATACGCAACATTTTATAAATGAGGCCCTAGGTGTGCTATTACCATGATGCACCATATTATTTGCATACCGACTGAATAGATGCTGGATGATTTCACACAATGAATACTAATTCTCTGACATAACAAAACTCAACCACACAGGCAGTGCTTCACCTCTCTTTTTGCAGAAAAAGATGTTTCAATCACTTTAATTGCTTTAGATTTTATTGATTCTTTGAAAATAATGATTTTACCCTGAACCAATTCATCCTTGACCCCCCCCTAAAGAAAGCTCATCAATTGTTTTTAATCATTAATGACGTGTCAACATTGATTTCCTTTTGACTGTCATCTGAAGATGGATCTGCATATGGTAGATTTTGCTAATATTCACCTGATGGAATCATTTATAGCACCTTAACAGAATTACACTCAACTTTCCAACAGCGGGATCCCCAAGGGTAACATGTAAAGGGTGAAAAGCAACGGTCCTATTACTGAGCCTTGAGGTACTCCATATACCCAGGAAAGTTATTTTTACACAGAAGACAAAAACTTTTATCAAAAACTAGCTAAGTAAAATATTATAATAATATTAAGATGTCAAGCCTATTAACGGATGTAAACTTCCCTAAAACAAGATGCCATACCTAGGTTATGCTAATTAACTAGTCCCACTCCACGCCCGACACGCGATCAATTTTAACCCTTTGGCTGCTGCTGAGCCAGAGACAGACGCGCTCAGTACTTTTCATATATCACAACTGTTCAGTGTTTTCAACCTCATAAAGTGTATTTTACATTTCAGACATTTAAACAGACATTAAGTACAAGCAAAAAAGACATTTATAATTTGTTAAAAAACACTTATTTCTATGGAAAGTGGCAACAATAATCCTTGTCGCCCCATTCAGCTTTGACTAGGGGAATCAATATGCAAACGGTGCATCTGAATTTGGCTGATGAAAGCTCCTCTCCAGCATAATTATGTAAGTCACTGCTGTTTTCGTGTTTCTCTGAGCTGCAGTGATTGTCGTTACAGATCGCGTCTCTGCTGTGAATGTGTTTATTGATCAGCATTAGTCCAGCAGTGTTAACAGCATCATCCAGTCACACAGAAATACTGCACAGAGAGTCAGAAATATCTACAACAAACCAACTCCACGTGCAGAGGAGTCCCAATAAAAGCATAAAACACCATGTGACAGCCAGCAGCATTATTATTATTGTTGTCATTATGAATGATGGATGAAGAGCAGCTGTGTTTTTCATCTGCAGGAATGAGGACGAGTCCCAGCATTGGCTCACTGCGGAGAGACACAGGCGTGGAGGTCCTCAGTCAGTCACAGCACACTGATGTTACGAGCCGTACAGAGAATATCTGAAGTCTCCGGTACCTGTCTGAAGGCCAGGCGTCTGAAGAACGTGTTGACGTGGAAAGCGCTGAGTTTGCCGTCTCTGTCAGCGTCCGTCAGCCGTAGGATCCTGGCGTCTGCGAGGGCCGCTCTCAGACTAAGAGTCTTGAGCATCTGAGCGCCGAGAGCGCGGCCGGACGAGGGCCGAGACGACACGCTGATGTAGGACGCATCCTTCTGCTGCGCCTGGTAGCTCACTGCTCACACACACACACACTCTCACACACACACACGCGCACACACACACGCGCACACACACACTCTCACACACACACGCACACACGCACACACGCGCACGCACACACGCGCACGCA